CTTAACTTCTGTGAAAAGTCAGATCTAGTATCCTGAGCAGACTGGGAGAGGATGAGGAAGGTAGACTGGTTTCTTGCAGTCTGTCCCTGACTCTACCTTCATGCTCCTGCTGCATGCAGAAGTCACAGGAGCTTAACTAACTGAATTCTAAAAGCATAAAAAGACCTAGGTGTGCCTGCAGATGGCAAAATATCTGGCAGGCTGGGGGGGGGGGGCATTAACTTTGCAGTGCGTGTGTGTGTTAATGCATTTTGTTTGCATGTATGTGTATGACTGATGCAGGTGCAGGCCAGAAAAAAATCTCTGGAACCTCTGGAACTGGAGTTACAGAGTTACGAGCGACCTGTGGGTGCTGGGAATTGAACCTGGGACCTCTGAAGAGCAGCCAGTGCTCTTAACCACTCAATCATCAGCCCCAGGTTTGTCTTGTTTGTTTTTAATTTTATGGGTATGGGTATTTTGCCTACATGTGTGTATGTTTTGCCTACATGTGTGTATATATCACAAGTATACAGTGTCCATAGAGGCCAAAAGAGGGCATTGATAGCTGCTGGAACTGAAGAGCAGCCAGTGCTCTTATCAATGAGCCATCTCTCCAGCCCATTTGTTTCTGAAACAAGGTTGGGCTCAAACTCATTATGTAGCCAAGGACAACCTCTAAATTCTGATCTTCCTGCTTCTACTTCTTAAGCTTGGGGATTATAGGGGCTTGCCACCACACCTTTTTTTTTTTTTAAATTAAATTTGTCTATCCACCTGTATGTATGCACACATTACTGGGTGCACGCAAAGGCCAGGGACAGGGTATCAAGCTTCCCCCCCTTTATCATTTTCTGTCTATTCCTTTGAGGCAGGGTCTCTATCTGAACCTGGGGCTGGCATTTTTCCCCCCTCAGGCTAGAAGGCAGCAAAGCTCCAGTGGTCCTTCTGTTTCCACTCCCCTCAAAGCTAAGTTTACAAGTAGACACGGGACACCTGGCATGTGTGGGTGCTGGGATCTAAGCTCCACTGCCATAATTGCACAGTAGGTACTCTTAGTAGCTGAGCCATCTCTCCAGCACCCCTCCCATAACCCCTGGGTTTGGTGCAGTGTTGGGAATGAACACCAGGCCCCAGTGCATACTGGTTAAACACTCTACCAACTGAACTATATCACTAGTCCTTAGCAGCTCAATTCAAGTTTCATGTTTCTCTAGGCAGTCTTGGATTTAGGGCAGGGTTATTAGAGGAACCTTCAGATACTAGGAAGTTTACATAAACTCACAGTGGGTTTGGTTTAACTGAGCTAAAGTAAACTCTGCAAAACATGAGGAAGTGACTTCAGCATTTGCAAATATTCCAGAACGTCTCTGTGCCAGGAAAGGTCAGCTAAGGATCAGCATAGCAGGGACTCCAAAGTATACTTTGGCCCCTGGAAAGCATTACTCTGTGGATACACTTCATTATGCACTTTCAGAGAGCCAAGGAAAACTCTTAAAGAAACAGTTTGAACCTTCCCATCCCACGATTGCCCACGATTGCATGAAAAGGGTACAGATGAGTTCAATGGTTAAGATCTCCAAAGCAGAAAAATTCAATTGTTAAGATCTCCAAAGCAGAAAAACAAATGCGGACTTTGAAACAAAGCAAGAAGAATCTAATAACATAGGAAACTTGTACATGATTCTTCTACGCAGACAGCGTCTGTAGGAATGCTGGGGGAAGTTGGGAGAAAATAGTAACGACATGTTCAGAAGGTACCAGGGAACCAGTGAGACAACTAGTTGGGTAAAAGCATCTGTTACCAAGCCTGATGACTTGATTTCAATTCCTGGAACCCATATGGAAAGAGAGAAACTGGCTTCCACTTGTTATCCTCTGATCTCCACATATATGCACACGCACACACACACACAAATAAATAAATGTAATAAAAATTAAAAAACATGTTAAAAGGTT